TGTTCTTTAATGACCACATTCTCCCTCAGAATTCTAAGTGTAGGCTGGGCCTGCGGAGGACTTTATTATTATAAGCGGTTCCATTGTCCCTGCTGTCCTTTGCCGTGAGGGCTGCAGACGTGGCCTCCTTGCCAGCCCTGCAACTAAGTCAGGGTTACCCTCGGCCAGGCAATGTGATTCTTCGTGTTTTGCTACCTTTGAGGACACAAGCAAAAAAGAGATTTTAAAAATCTGTCCTCTGGGCCAGGCGCGGTGGCTCACACATGTAATCCTAGCACTCTGGGAGGCTGAGGCAGGTAGATCACTCAAGGTCAGGTGTTCGAAACCAGCCTGAGCAAGAGCGAGACCCCATCTCTACTAAAAAAATAGAAAGAAATTAATTGGCCAACTAAATATATATATATATATATATGTAAATTAGCAGGGCATGGTGGCGCATGCCTGTAGTCCCAGCTACTCTGGAGGCTCAGGCAGCAGGATTGCTTGAGCCCAGGAGTTTGAGGTTGCTGTGAGCTAGGCTGACGCCACGGCACTCACTCTAGCCTGGGCAACAGAGTAAGACTCTGTCTCAAAAAAAAAAAAAAATCTACCCTCCAAAGGACAACTCCTGGGTATTATTTGCAGGTTACATTATTTCCGGACCCAGTAACTTTTTCCTCACTGCCATTGTGAGCACTTTCATTGTTTTAACCAATAATAGCCCAAGTGCAGCCAGAACTCTTTTCTTCAGACAGGAAGACCCCAGGAAAAGCCGCCAATTAGTAACCATTCAGAATATACAATTGGTGGGGGTCTGTCATTTCCAGTGCTGCCCAAGAGCTAAAGTCTGGACATCCAACTGTGACCAGATTAAGGAGAGGGAAATTGCAAACATTGTCCTCCCCGGACTGTCCACGGCGAGGGTTTGCTTCAAGAATAGGAGTTTCTATCATCAATCAGAAAAGAAGTTAAAAAAAATTGAAATTAGATAAATAACAATCCTTTCATTAGGGAGAGGTGAACAGTGACAGGGGTGGGGCTGGGTAGTAGTAAAAAATAGCAGGGACAAGATTCCAGTCATACTTGTGCTACTGGAAAATTGGGTGGGGATCACCCTGGATTGAAAGGAATTCATAGATAAAATTTCCTTTCCACAATTAAAAGTGAGGGATGTACTGGTAGTCTATGGTTAAATCTGGGTTTTGGAAATTGTTTGCCTGGAATCAAACCTGGGATCCTCGAAGTACTTGTGTCCTTGGACCAGTTAACTCTACCTCTTAGTGCCCCCTTAAATGTAAAATGGGGATATAATAGTACCAATACTATGGGGTTAGGATGGGAGCAAACGATTAATCATGGAAAGCATGGAGCAAATACTCAATGGATGTTAACTATTAATTGTCATTAAGGCTATGACATCACAATAGCTTTTCTGTAACACAAGTTAGCCAGAACGTTCCATTTTTAATTAGCTGTGAGATCTTGGGGCAGAATTTTCTAATCTGTTAAATGAGGGAGTTGGATCAGATGAGATCTAAATTGATCTTAGTCTGGTAATGTGGCTCACGCCTGTAATCCTAGCACTTTGGGAGGCTGAGGTGGGAGGATTGCTTCAGGTCAGGAGTTCTATGCCAGCCTGAGCACCATAGTAAGACCCCCAACTCTACAAAAAATAGAAAAATTACCCGGGCTTGGTGGCACAGGCTTGTAGTCCCAGCTACTGGGAGGCTAAAGCAGGAGAGTTGCTTGAGTCCAATAGTTTGAGGTTACAGTGAACTATGACTGTTCCATTGCACTCCAGCCTGGGCAACAGAGCAAGACTCTCTCAAAAACAAATAAATAAAAATAAATAAACAAATAAATTGACCTTAAAAGTCTAGAATTACACTCTTTGTATTTTCTTAGTGGAAATACTGAGGCAGACAAGTAGTACCTGTCCTTGACACATGGCAACCCAGTGACAATCAGGCCAAGAAGGTAATTGGCCACCAATCCCTCAGTGCTGCTTGTGTCTTCTATTATTTTATCAAAAGACCACAACCCATGGCCCATGGAGTGCAATTCAGTACAACCTTTCTGGAGGTCAATCTGGCAATATTTATTGAAAACCATAAAAGAATGTATACTCCAAATTCTATTCTAGGGCTATGACAAATAATTATAAAGGATTGCAAGAGAGCTATAAGGATGTTCACTATAGGTTCATTTATAAGGAAAAATGGGAATCAAAACAGAGGGTTGGTTAAATACATTATGGTGCAGTTATGGAATGGAATGCAGTTGTGAAAAATGATTAACAAGGGATTTTTTGACATGGTAAGATGCTTATAACATATTAATTGAAAAAGCAGATTCTCAAAAATATCTGGTCAAAAACCAAGGAAGTGAGGCTGGGTACGGTGGCTTATGCCTGTAATCCTAGCACTCTGGGAGGCTGAGGCGGGAGCATCCCTTGAGGACAGAAGTTCAAGACTAGCCTTAGCAAGAGTGAGATCCCATCTCCACTAAAAATAGAAAAAGTAGCTGGATGTGGTGATGCACACCTGTAGTCCCAACTACTTGGGAGACTGAGGCAGGAGGATCACTTGAGCCCAGGAGTTTGAGGTTGCAGTGATCTTTGATGGTGCCACTGCACTCTAGCCTGGGGAGCAAAGCAAGACCCTGTCTCAACCAAACAAAAGAAAACAAAACGAGAACCAAGGAGATATATAACTGTGGCAATTTGATGAATATATATCTACACACACACACACACACACACACACACACACACACACACACACATATATATAAAGAGACAGAGGTTGATCAGTCACCAAATAATTTATCAAATACATAGACAGTCCACCAGATACATCCACCAAAATATAAATAGTGCTTACCTCAAGATGGTGATTGGTATTTTATTTTTCATATTTAGTTTTTTACTAATTTTGTACAATAAATATGTTTTGCATTTTCTGAACTTTTTTTTGGAAAATTAAAACATAAGCAAAACCAGAAAAAATAGCAATAGTTTCCGCCCCTCACAATGTACTCAACACCGAATTTCAGCAATTAATCCATGACCAATCTTGCTTCATCTTGTGTTACTTTTTTCTTTTTTTTACAATATTTGGGTACACTTTATTTTTATATGGGTTAACATTCTTCTATATTTCATTTCATTCGTTCTTTTTGAGAAACTGAAAACAAAGGGAAATCGAGGGTAATCAGAAGGTAATTTGAGGGTAATTTCCAACCAATATCTGAGTTTTGCAGTATCTTATTATGCAGCCCTTTCTTCCCATTTTTTTTGCAAATAATAAAGTCATTTTGACCCAAATCCAGCATAAATAGCTTTTCACCAATTCCTAACTTAAGACAACTAATTATGTTGCTTTTTAATAGGAAAAATAAAACCCTAACAACTTTGACAAAATTTTAAGCTCTAACTGTATGAGGAATTATTGTTCCTGCCTCATTGTGGCCTCCTGGTCACTTTGGCCCCATACTCACCACCACGAAGGGAATGTGAAATGGCTAATGCAGGTCATTTGCTCCTTCTGTGTGTCTCAGTGCAACGCACAAGGAAAACTATCAACTTACAGGAGCATCTGAGGCTAATTAGCTGAGCTGATTAGTCTATGGCTGTGGAAAAAAAGGGTGGGGGGGGAAGGTGAGCAGATAGAATATGCTATTTAAATTCTTAGAGAATCCAGATTTCAATAAATGGTTTAGACTTTAAATTCCTATTCTAAAATTGGATGGATGCATTTATTTCTCTTTCTTTCTTTATTCCTACACACAATGGAGTGGGGCACAGGGAAGCACTAAGTCACCGACAATGGGCTTGGTGAGGGGAGAAGTCAAAGTGACCAGAAGGTGCACAGCCTGCACATCAGACCTAAGTGAGAACTGACCAAGCGTGGAACGGTGACAGCAAATGTTGCTGACGAAGACGTACAACGTTATAACAATGTTGAAAAGTCCGCATGTCTGGGCAAAGCTCTGCCTCACAGTGTCTGCTGTGCTATTTCATGGGCCCAGCCCTAAAACACAACCGAGCAGAGGCCAGGCCTGGAGGGCACGCCGCTCCCAGGGCATTTGAGTGTTTGTTTGCTTGAGCGGCTCTTTCACCATTGTCTGCCTCCTTACTGGTTATGACATGTGCCAGAGCTGCCTTCGCCCTTCATTCCGCTGGCATTTGTTAAAACAGCATTCATCGTGATCCAAGCTGGATGTGTCCTGTAGCCTGGCTGTAACTTTCCACTTTCAGGGAGATGTAATAAGGGGTTTACAAGTCCTAATATCACAGCATTTTGAAAATAAGGATTCTAAAGCATAAACCTAGCAGAAATTCTTTTAAAGAGGAAAGGAAGAGGGGAAACTGGATTTGGGTTCCTAAATAACCCCTTGGGGTATTGTGTTGCTTGGTCCTTGGCATCAGTTAAAAGATAACAAGAGAGGCAGAACAAATTATAGATCCATATTTTCTAATACAGATGCCCAGTCAAAGGGCAAAAGGTAAAATATCCAATAATCCAGGAGGGGATATATTCAGGGTGTGAATGGTTTAACTTGGGTTGTATTCCTATCACCACGTGGTAAGCCCTGAATTCACACTGTTGAATGAATGAATACAGACGATTGCTTCTGAGGTTGCAAAGAAATTGAGAAATGTAGTTTCAAAAGAATTTTTTCTATCTACATCTCAGCTACCTAATTCATAGGACCAGAAGCAGAGTGAGTGGAATGGGACATCTTGGGTGTAAAATTTAAGGATACTTGCACTGTCAGATTGGTGCAAGTCTCACTGCTGCACTTGCAAGACCCAGAGAGTGAGTGCCACCTTCAATATCGTGCCCTGGGGGCCTTACTCTCATCTGGCCTTGCTAGTCCATTTAGGGACTACAAAATATTTTTTCAGAAATTATTTCTGTTCATTCCTCTCTTTCCTGTTAGCGTGAGCAGTGGGAGGCAAGGGTTGCGACGCCAACTTTCCCGATTTCATTGTATAGACAGACGGCTCTACAGTAAACATGGTCAATGTACCTAAAACTTGAAGAACTTTCTGTAAGAAGTGTGGGAGGCATCAACCTCACAACGTGACCCAGTATAAGAAGGGCAAGGATTCCCTGTATGCCCAGGGAAAGAGGTGCTATGATCGGAAGCAGAGTGGCTATGGTGGGCAAACAAAGCCAATTTTCCGGAAGAAGGCTAAAACCACAAAGAAGATTGTGCTAAGGCTGGAATGTGTTGAGCCTAACTGCAGATCCAAGAGGATGCTGGCCATTAAGAGATGCAAGCATTTTGAACTGGGAGGAGATAAGAAAAGAAAAGGCCAAGTGATCCAGTTCTAAACTTTGGGACTCTTTTTGTCCTTTAATCTTGAGGAGAAAATGTTGAAGCTGTAGAAAAATTACTTGTAGGGAAATAAATACAATGATATTAAAAAAAATTATTTCTTCCTTGGGCTTAGTCTACTACCTCTGTTCAAGGAACAGGAACGGAGAAAGTTTCTACCTGGGGAAACCAGTGCCTCATTGCCAAGCGTTGTCAGACAGAGCTGGGTTAACTCAGCACTTACTGTGTTTTTAGGAAGGTCAGTTAATCTCTAGAGCAGGCGTCCTCAAACTGTGGCCCGAGGGCCACATACAGCCCGCCGAGGACATTTATCCGGCCCGCCAGGTGTTTTTGCCGCTGCTGCCTGTCCTGCTTAGCAGCCGACTTGTCCCGGGCCCACAGTGCACATGTGTGGAATGTGCCCACACTCTCCAACAGCCCTCCAACGGTCTGAGGGACAGTGAACTGGCGTCCTGTTTAAAAAGTTTGAGGACCTCTGCTAGAGCTTTCTTTTCTTCACCTATAAAATGCAGATAATAATAATAATACCTACTTTACAGAATGATTGTGAGCATTGGAATTAATATGCAAAAAGTGCCATGTATAGTGCTTGGCACATAGTATGTGCTCATTAAATGGAAACTTTTATTGTGCTATTATTATTGGCAGTAGTAGTGGTGATGTGGGCAACACTGACCAGCCAACTATCTTTAGGTGAGAACACACACATGGACTTGCTGCAAAAAATATCCAGAAGCTGGCTGGGCGTGGTAGTTCACGTAATCCTAGCACTCTGGGAGGCCGAGGCAAGAGGATCATTTGAGCTCAGCAGTTCGAGACCAGCCCGAGCAAGAGCGAGACCCTGTCTCTCTAAAAATAGAAAAATTAGCTGGGCATGTTGGCTCATGCCTGTAGTCCCAGCTACTCAGGAGGCTGAGGCAGGAGGATCACTTGAGCCCAGGAGTTTGGGGTTGCTGTGAGCTAGGCTGACACCGGGCCCCTCTACTCAGGGCAACAGAGTGAGACTCTGTCTAAAAAAAAAGAGAAAAACCATCCAGAAGCTGTAACTGAGGACAGATCTGGTAGATTCATGTTAGATTCAGACTCAAGCAACTCAAAGGGAGCTCTAACTGTGTTTGCTAGTTTTCCTGAATTTTAATTAATCCTGACCACACACTGTGTTTAGTCGATTATCTGTACTCATGGACTACAGATAATTTTTTACTGTAAATATGTCCTGTGCAACATTTGGGACATATTTATACCAGAAAAATATTATTCATTGTTTATTTGCAATTCAGACTTAACTGGACATCCTGCATTTCATCTGGCAGCCTTCAGAAGGGAGCTGGTGGTACAGGGACTCTGAACTGGTGCCTGCCTTGGGCGTGCCTCTGGAACTCGCACGACTGCATCGGTGGCCCTGCAGGCTCAGCGCACTGCACGACTAGCAGGTGAACTGCTCAAGCTTCCTTGGTTCTTTTGGCTCCTGGCTTTCTCCTCCCGCTCTCTCTCCCCCCACAACGCCTTCTGCTGCCTGCAGGGACGGGGTGCAGGAATGGACATGACAGCTGGCAATGCAGAAGAGAGGCAGGGTGGGGCGAAGTGGTTTAAAAGTATACAATAGTCAGCTGGTGCCCGTGAAACTCAACCAAACTCCTGGGGAAATGCTAACTGCTTTCTGGGATTGCCAACACCACCGCACCCCCCCCGCCCCCGCCCTCTCTTTACTCTGTTTAAGGGCTCCTCTCTGTTGTGTATTTCATAAGAGAACAAAAAGAGAGAGTGCTCTTGCTGAGAACCTTTGCTTCTGGAACCATAATTTCAAAAATAAGCCCCAGGTCCTTGGCTGGGCCTGATGGCTCACGCCTGTAATCCTAGCACTCTAGGAGGCTGAGGCAGGCAGATTGCTCGAGGTCTAGGGTTCAAAATCAGCCTGAGCAAGAGCGAGACCCCATCTCTACTATAAATAGAAAGAAATTAATTGGCCAACTAATACATATAGAAAAAATTAGCCGGGCATGGTGGCGCATGCCTGTAGTTTCAGCTACCTGAGGGACTGAGGCAGCAGGATTGCTTGAGCCCAGGAGTTTGAGGTTGCTGTGAGCTAGGCTGATGCCACAGCACTCACTCTAGCTGGGCAACAAAGTGAGACTCTGTCTCAAAAAAAAAAAGCCTCAGATCCTTGATCTCATTGTCACATTCTGGGTTGTGTTAATGGATATTCCTCAAAAAAAAAAAAAAGATAAAATCATGACTGTCATAAAAATGAACACATGTTAAAGACTTTATTTAACTCAGTAATAAGGAGAGATGTTACAGTAAGTTCAAAGAAGTCAAAGCACAAATTTATATGGAGTAAGGGAATGTTGAAACGAATCAGCAAATGGACATAAAACTGGCTTGGGGGTGCTTTGGGCTGAATTACCTCCACGCAAATTCATACGTTGAAGTCCTAAACCCCGTACTTCAGAATGTGAGTGTACTTGGAGACAGACTCTTTAAAGAGGTAATTAAGTTAAAATGAAGGCCTTAAAATGGGCCCTAATGTGGCTGGTTCTCGTAGAAGAAGAGGAGATTAAGACACACGTGGGGGAAGACCATGAGAAGACACAGAGAGAGAACAGCCATCCACAAGCCAAGAAGCAAGGCCTCAGAAGAAATCAACCTTGACAACATTTTAGTCTTAGACTTCAAGCCTTCAGAATCTGGAGAAAATAAATTTCTGTTGTTCAAGCCACCAGTTTGTGTTACTTGGTCATGGCAGCCCAAGTAGACAGGACAGAGAAGGGTTCATTTGCATGTCTCTAGGTGAGAGTTATTTTATGTTCTCACGAGTTACCTACAGTTTAGAGAGTTATACGATATCTCCCTTAGAAACAGATAACCTATTCAGTTTAACAATAAGAGTTTATTCATGACTAGGATCTGTAAACTACAGCTTGTGGCCAAATCTAGCCCCACGCCTGTTTTTGTAAAGTTTTATTGGAACGCAGCCACCCTTAGTCCTCTACATATCGTCTGTGATTCCTTTCACAAGACAAAGGCAGAACTAAGAAGCTGCCATCTGCGAAGTCTAAAATATTTGCTATCTAGTCTTTTACAGAAAAAAGTATGCAGGGCCTCCTCTAGACAATGCATGCTTTTCCAATGAAGCACAAATGTTTCCCTACAATTGGAATGTCATTCAAGGTTATCCAGCCCAGAGGCTCCCAGATTTTGAGATCTCATGGGTCAGTAAAATCTTTAAAAATATTGGGGAGATAATTATGGGGTCTACAATATTTATCTTTGTCAAATATGAGCTATTTAATAAAAGAGGATATTTTAAGTACTCGTAAATGAAGATATTTTAAAGAAAATAGTGCATGAAAAGCTTGTTACATTATCCTTTCTTTCAATTCTCAGAGATTAGGTAAACACTTTACCCCGTCTAGACAGTTCGTGGTCTAGATAGTGGAACCACTGACCTGGCCCAGCCTTCGGTGCCAAGTGCAGCTGTATCCAGGAGACCGCTGGCCTGGACGTGGAGCCCGGCCTTACTTGCAGTGCCCAGGCTGATGCCCTTGCAGGGAAGAGAGTGGTTCCTCGAGGGCCAATTATTGCCAGGGTCAGCCTGCACATGTCCCCCATACCTGCTTCCAGTTATGACACACATCTTGCCTTGCTTTAAATCATATGCTTTTTCCTGATTTTTAAAAAGAATGATATGCTCAGTGCAGAAACCTTGGGAAGATGAATCAATGACACAAACATGTTTTTTATCTGGAAATCTACTATATAGCCATTTTGATTATGAAAATAAAAGTAAAGACTTGCTGGATTTTCTTGGGTCATCCAGGAAAAATCATTGCAGTTATACAGATTTAGTTATTCTTTCAAAAAATATTGGTGCCTATCATGTGCCAGGCTGCATTCTGGTTTTGGAAGATATGCTAGTTCTATTCCTTTAGGATGTCCAGATTAGAAAGTGTGTTTGGCCGGCGCGGTGGCTCATGCCTGTAATCCTAGCACTCTGGGAGGCTGGAGGCGGGTGGATCGTTTGAGCTCAGGAGTTCAAGACCAGCCTGAGAAAAAGCGAGACCCCGTCTCTACTATAAATAGAAAGAAATTAATTGGCCAACTAATACATATAGAAAAAATTAGCTGGGTATGGTGGCACATGCCTGTAGTCCCAGCTACTCAGGAGGCTGAGGCAGACGGATTGCTTGAGCCCAGGAGTTTGAGGTTGCTGTGAGCTAGGCTGATGCCACAGCACTCACTCTAGCCTGGGGAACAAAGTGAGACTCTGTCTCAAAAAAAAAAAAAAAAAAGAAAGAAAGTGTGTTTATTCTCCCTGGGTATTAGTAAATCTTTATATCTCTCTGGGTGGAGATGAATTTTGTACTTTCCATTTTTTCCC